TAGTCAGTCCTCCGCAATGCGAACCAGCTCATGATCGAAGTTCTGAGCGGCGGTGTGAATCTCAAGAGAAGCATCATCCAAAGTGTCTACAGCACAAATCTCATGGGGACGGTGTACCAGGCAGGTGACCGTGATACGCACTTAATATGGTCACGCCTATTTCTTACTTTCGACTCCCTACTTAGTGGCAAAGCCAGCCCGTTCTATCTAAGTTGAATATGTCGATGCCTCTGGGATGCTGGAATGAAACATCTCGAATGCCACGACTATGAGTCTATGATCTTTAAGGCTCACCATTTGAATCCTAAACTTTACCATTCTGAACTATGAATCCTTTTTTTAACTCGGTGTGTATAATCTGTCCACCACTACCAGACATCTCATCGAACGTCTTTCTAGGTGTCCACTGTCAATATTACTACGTAGCCGACGTAGCCAGACCGGCTATGGCTATGGCTATATTGGGGCTCGCCAGCCAGGTGTTAACCAAGAGTTGAAGATTCGGAAAACCTGTCCAATACCATAACTTCTCCGTGAGAAACGGACGGCTATGTGAACGGCATTCCGCCATAGCCATTTCCGACCCTTCCCATCACCCTTGTGAACGTCCGTAGCTTGCGCGGCCTATCGAACAAGTCAAGTGACTTCACTGTTGTATTCAGATACTGGCAGTTAGTTAGCTTTCGTATTGAAACTGACGAATGCCCAAACATCACCTTCACATACTCGTATCTGATCTCCAGCATAATCTCAGGCCCAGTCCCTGCTCGTCCACCAGTGCTAGGAATTACAGCTTTAGCCCAGGTCATGAAAAGCATCATTCTGGCCATCATCGCTTTTTCCCACGCCTCCCACATCTTCCCGTAACATTGGCTCCCTCTGCCGTAATCTATCGCCGTGGCAAATACGCTCCATTCGCAGCCCCTGAACCCACCCGTTCAATCGAGCTTGTATCTCCTTGGGAGGGGAGGTCTGACATTCTGGAGTCGTTGCAGATTTGAATCCAGGATACAAATCTGGCTCCACCGAGACATCATCGTGTTGCTAGCTGGGCTGAATTGATGGGTTATTATCACCGCTGGGCAACATAGAACCTTTTATGTCAACAAGGGGTTTCCCCACTCACTCTTCGCCGCAGATATCTAAACCATACTGGCAGAAGAGGCGTATAACACTCGTCATCCCGGGAGCCTGTTATACGTATCGAGCGTGAACGTCGACGAGATTTCAGCATCCCTCGAGAGCGACAGAATCCTTTTTTTTGACACCATCAGCGATATTTCAGACGACACAGACGGTCATGACGCGAAAGGAGGCTTACGACTCTCCTGAAAGGCACACTCGTCCGTTGCCCGAATGTCTCGGGAGCAAAAAACCCCTTCAACGTCGAGCTCGTCGCCACCGTAGCACCGTCGAAGGCCAAGTGAGTCTCTTGGGGCCCAAAGGTAGCTATGCTCCAGGACTGTCGAGAATAAAATGGATACTGGAGTTTGCATACATTGCCAAAACAAAACCACCCACACATCGCTATCATAAAGTTTAGGAGGTGAGTGCATCATCTTTGCTGCTAGGAGATTCAACCCATGTTTCGCAACAACATCGTCCGAGGGACTGGGAAGCTCTGTCTTTCAATGATGGCGATCATCACGCCCCTTATCCGTAGACTGACGGCCAAGCACACATCAACAAAGCCCAATTACTTACTTACATTAGATCCTTTGAGCCAAAAGCCTTATCCTACCCGAGGTTCTCCTGAAGGCTCTTCCGTCCTGAAGAACAGTCCTGTGAGTATGGGTGTGAACTGAAGTTCTCGATGGCTAGGAAGAGGTTACAGACTCCCTATCGGCCGCAGACATGTGGTCATCGATGGAGGTCGACAGAATCTCCGCAGCATGCTTCGCGTACTAGTAGCAGCACTTGAGGAGGCGCCCTGGAAGGAAGGCCCACGGGGGTAAGGTAAAAAGGGGTACCTAGCAGCCTACCTTCAGGTGCAAAGTACACCATCGTGAACCCTGTCGTGGGTACTTACATCGGCGGCTTAGGCACGTATAATGCCTGGGATCAAAAGTGATGATCAAGCCGCAGTCGTGGGGCTCACCAGCCGGGCCATGTCGGCGATGGACTTCATCCACGGGGTTTAAAAGAAAAAGAAACCCCACGTCCTAGACTTCCCACCTTCTTCTACTTTTCTCCCCATCTCCGCAGCATTTCGTCGTGCTGAGAACTCTCTTTCCATCATTCTATCTTCAGCTACCGTCTTTCCGAACAGTTGCGACATCATTCTTGCCCGAGATCACCTCTTCTCATCTTCATATCGCCATTAGTTGCCCGACGTCCCGACGTCCCGACGTCCCAACATCTCGACATCCGACATCCGACATCCGACATCCCGGCATTCCGAAGAACCATCTTCATATAATCATCGTTGATCGGCTGGATTTGTCTTCATCTAGATAAATGCCTGCATCCAGTTCTAAAAGGCCCTCCTTGGCGATGGCCAAGCTCCTGCCTCGGGCAGTTGAGCTGTGTCCTGCCCCAAGTCCCGTATTGGATGCTGCTTCGTCGAGCCATCTTAGAAAGCAATTGAACGAGATCATCTCGGAGCAGCGCAAGCTGCGTGTGATCGCGAAAACACTCCACGATGGTGAATTTGGAGAGCTGAACACTGATGAGATCGATTTGATCGAAGAGGTGACGGAGCGCAAAGATGTCCTTCGCCTCCGCATCGAGACTTATCGACGGGATATTAATTGTAAGTAACGCCAGTAACCTGTCCTATATTTCCATTTCCATCCTGCCGTCTCCGCCGGTCTGCGTGTGGCATGATGGGTCACCGGCTGACTTGGTTGTTCAGTAGCTATAGAGAACCAGAGAAAGGGTGTCCGCGGCTTTTTGGAGCCTGCCCAGTTTGGCATTGGCCAACGCCTTGTCAACCATGATTCGATGAGCACCGAGGATCTCAAAATGGAGCTACACCTCGTCGAAACAGTGGAGTTGGTGAACCGCCAGGGACGTGAGGACGCCCAGGCGTACCGTGAAGCTATTCATGCCATCCTCGCCGTCCGCAATGGAAAGGACGCAGAACATAACCTGCCAAAGGCTCGAAGTGGCTTTACGCCGATCAATGGCGCTGAAGCTGCGTCCAAGGCATGGAAGACCACCCCGACTTCCAAATTTACCACTACAAATGCGGAAAAGGGCAAGGAGGCCAACAATACCAACGCTAGACTCGATAAGAGAGTCCAGCTGCAGACCCAGCCTTCGGTTCCTAAGCCGGGGCGAAAGCCGCTGCCGTCGACGCCCAGAATGACCTGTGGCGGCACCCGCACTGCGTGGAAAGATCTTCAGACGGCCAGAGATGAGGCCGTCTATGAGACCGCTGATTCCGGGAAATTAGTCGCCCCGAACGCCCGAAACTCGGCCGACCCGGCCAACCCGGGTAACCCAGGCAACCCCGGCCAGTCCGTTTCCGGTCCTTCGGATCCTGCGGAGAACAACTTGGAAAGCTCCATCAATAAGCTCGAGATCTCGGGCCAGAAGCAGGGAGAGAAAAGAACCCACTCTCAGCGGCAGAGTACCGGTAATAACGAAGAACCGCGTCCGAAGCGGTCCCGCAAGAACTGAGCCGTTGTTCACGCAAGATGTCAACATCGCAAGAGTGGGCAAGATAGTCAACATCGTCCATTCACAACCCATCTCTGAGTTCGAAAGGGGCACGGGATCAGTCGATTGAGAAAGTGGTGTGGATCATGAAGATGGACACAGATGGACTTTTACGATCCTCCGTTTTTTCCAAAACAAAAAAGGTCCTTATTCGCCTTATATGAGTTGCCATGATCCAGTTTCACGGTCTCAACTGGCAGATCAACAGGCGACGTCCTCCAATACGGACTCGCATCGTACTCATAGTGTCGTTTGTTCAATCGTCAAGTAGGGATTTCTGGCGGGGGACTTTGTTTTTTCTTTTTTCTTTTCTTTTTTTTCCTTTTTTTTCTCCTTTTATTCTCTCTCCTCTCTTTCAATCCGTCCATGTCGAGAAGACAGACTCTAGGCCGTGGCCTCTTCTCCTGCCGCTTCATTTTCATTCTTCATGGAAATGCTTTCGACCTCTTCCTTTCCATTGATACCTTACCTAGTTAGTAGATCGTCATCCTCGATTTGCGTCGAGTCGTATGCTACATACAACACAGGAAGGTCATCCATCTCTTCGCCAGAGGTCAGGCCATGGAAGTTCTCGGTAATTAGCTACTGTATAATAGAAAGGGCTCTTCTTACAATGCTTTCTCGATGCTCGTGATTCGTGCAAGAAATATCCCAAGTGACTGATGACTTATGCAGTGAGAATGAGTATTTACCCCTGGGTGAAAGTGGGAAGACCGACAGCGCGTGGCTTATATTATACGGATTACGACAACTCGATTCGCCTGGAAAGTCATGATCCTACCATCCATTCCTCCTGAAGAGAGCGGAGGGAAAGGATAAACGAAGAACTAGAGACCAGCACACACGGGCTCAATAACCAAGTATATATACGTGTGAAGTACATCAAGATCTCTTGATCGTTCCCAGTCACATTGCATAGATCTCCAAGGCAAAGCGTATGAAGACTCGGGATGAACAGGGTAAATGAATGAACAGGCATTGATGGCAAGCAAGCACCCAACCTTTATAGCAACGCTGTGACTTGATGGTGGTAAGGTATATATATATATATATATCAATATAAAACTTAACGAACGGCCACGACAAGTATGTAGAGCATGGACTGACTACCTGGATAGATATATAACTACCGGTACTGAATGACTAAACTGAACAGTTCAGTTAAACTCGCATCCGTCAAAAACAAGGCGTCGAAAAAGCCGACATCAACGAGAAAGAAGAGAAGAAAAAAAAAAAAAAAAATTAAATCCGTCTAAAGAAAAGGGGGCGGTGGTAAGGTTTTTCTTTAAGAAATAAAATAGATTAAAAAAAAGCGGAATTAAATCGGCTAATTTTTTTGACCTCGCTGGGGGTCGAACCCAGAATCTCCTGATTTTTTCGCTCGGGGATCCTTTTCGGTTTAGGTAATCTTAAAGGATCCTCGTCGTAGTCAGACGCCTTGCCATTGGGCCACGAAGCCGCTGCTTGGTTGTTGGACACGTCCGGCCCCACTAACTTTAAAACCCCCACCTTGCTGACCCACTATCGGTTAGTTACATAGACTTAGTTTACCTTAGGTAGGTAGATCGCGGGGTCCGTAGCTTATTTGGTAAGTACATAAGGTAGGTAGTGTCCGGGATCTTCGCTGCCTCCGTAATTATATATATATATATACCTATGTAATTCTCGGAAGAGTGTCTGCGTCAACAATACAATTACAAGTACATGGCACTTATAGGTAAAGCTTTCTTGGTCGTGCCAGATAACTACAACCCAGCTATCTAGACTGGGTAATTTCTCGGCGCAGATCTGTCTTAGTTTTAGTGCACCCAGAATATGCTCGGAGACAATGACCCCGAAACATCGTGACACAGACCATATAAGTTGTTCTTGAACAGATAGATACCTAGGTTAGTAGGTAGATCCTGTCTAGATAGGTGGAGGTATTTTGGAGTAGGTAGGCGGGGTGGTCATATGGATACCGTACCCAGCTGAGAGCGAACCGGTAAGAAAGCCTTGCCGGAGAATGACTGCAGTACCCCTGACGGCATAGAAAACGGCCGACAGGGAGCTCTTAGACATAAATGAACGGCGACAGACCGTATTAAAAGATCTCAGGTTCTACGCACGAGAGTATTACTTCCAAAACGAAGACTCGGAAATGGTCGACGCCGAGAACTCGAAAGATGCATCGTCGTTATATATCATATGAAGTACCGCTAAAACGTCGATACTATCGGGGTATATACGCGTTCACCATTACCATTATGACCCGTCAAGTCCAAATCATCGGCTCTCAGATGACTCGACTGCACAGGAAAAAAAGCTCTTACAGATCCAGGAGTTGGATGACCGCCCCCATAACTAACGACCCTTACAAGTATGACTGAGTATGACTGAGTATGACTGAGTATGACTGCCATCACAAGATCCTACTCATCGTCGAGTATGCGACTTGCTATGCGTCCGAACACAGGAACTTCAAATCTACTCGGGGTTATTCACAATTCACATCAATGTTCAATGACCGAGTCGTGACTGATGGGGGTGCTGATGACTCACCTGTCAAGAGTATCGGCATCGCGGTAAGCATGAAGCGCGAGGAAAGCAATCAGAGCGAGATCTCCAAGCACGATGACCCAGCTGAGGAAAGTCGACCACGAGAACAGGAGGTGGACAATGAACATGACGGTAAAGACAAGACTCGACTGCCAAGCATGGAACCTAGAAACCAAAGAGTCATGTTAGCCTCGAGAGACATTGGACACCTGGACTTGGAGTATTCCAAATTGGTTGCCTCGCCTCCACAATGCGACAACGCCAAGCTAAATGTAGAAGCGCCAGAGTTGACGATGCCGCGCCTCCTTAAGTCAAGGTCTTTCTCGAGGCTTTCTCACCTGACGTAATCGCTCTTCCTCTCCAGGATCAACAGTATAATCGCACCAAGCGGGGGAAAGCCGCAATATGCAAGTACGGCCTCGTAGTCTAGCCGAACGCCCAGGCTTGTATCAAACTCGCTGACCAACGCGCCGCTCCCACCCAGACCTATCCCGCCCCCGCCATCATTCCCGCCGTTGAAGCCCTCCTCAGAGGCATATCTCGCATGCCAGGAGCGCTGGGGTTGTGGGTGTTGTAGCGGCGGCGGGGAGTATGCAGCGAAATTGCGCTGTGACGGGCTAAAGGTGCGAGCGTTTTCGAGCGACGCACGGGGCGAGGCGCTATCGACGAAGGGAGGGGAGAATGGCCGGTTATTCTCGGGCGGCGAGCTCTGGTATGGTGCGAAATCCATCGCAGTTTTTTGTGTGCGTGTATGGCTCCTTTCCCTTCCTCGATTCTCGTGCAACGGTTTAGTTGTTCGGGGGTTGGCTTGAGGGCTCGGCCTCCGATCTGGCACACAATATACCGGTACGTCGCAACTGTGCTGAGTTTTGCAGTGTAGCTTATTCGTCGGGACTAATAGCGGAGTAAAGTAAAGTTAATATCGGCGCGGTTGGTTTAGACTTATAGTGGTACGCTGCTGCCGAACCTAATGTCTATTCGATGTGGACGTGGATGTGGATGTAGATGAGGAGAGTTGGGCATGTTGAATGTCTGAAAGTGTCGCATGCTTGGCTCCTCGGTAATTACAAGACGTACGAACCCTTACGTAATTTCCCTACTACCTAACAATACATCACCGTACCTACAACTACCGGCGGTTCAGCACGTTTCATCGCGAATCTGTAAGTACTTCTTGGTACACCGAAGTCGGCGCACATTCAGAGGTGCTTTCACAGCTCATTAATACCTACCTAGGTACCTACTTAGGTATTAGTAGGTACACGCCTCAGCACCCTACCCGTTCTGCCTACCTAGGTACTTACTTAGGTTACTTAGGTAGGTAGGTGACTAATATAAATGGGAATAAGATGGGTAAGATGACCCACGGACTTCGAAAACGGACTGTTCGACGTTTTCCGACAATAACTTGTCTACCAGTTCTGCAGTTCTCTGAGCGTAACCGAGGCCGGCTCTGGTGGGGGCGGGGGAATAAGGAAGCCGAAGAAGGGTCCGAAGGTGGACTCCCCCATTCAACGGCGCCAATTCCACAGACGGTTGATGTCGTGGAACAAGTAATACGTACCTGCCTACAGCAATCAATTTCACGTAGTTAATTGACCGGAAGGAGAGAGGCGGATAGATAGATGGGTCGCGGATCGGACAAGACCGTAACAAGGGCGATTGTTCTGTCGGAATAGGGGAAGCTTCTTCTACCTAATACGTCGTCAGATTCAGTTTATGCTACGAACTTGTAGATAATTATATGATGTGCAGCTCTGAACTCTTCTTTTCACCCCCTTTCAGTCAATCCTCTATATTTTACAGATACTTCCTCCTATATGTAGATACCAGGTACCTAACCTTAGGTATGTTACAAGCTCTGTTGACTTTTGGACTTTATGTACATTCGGTTGTTCTAGGGGTATTGTTCTACACAGCCGTAGCAAGTTTTTGCACGTACAAGATGCAAGATGATTACTACACGCCTTCTCGTTTAGGCGCTGGTCTCGCTGCCTGCTTCGTCCGCCTTCTTGCCGCCGCTGGCTTCTTCATCTAGTTGTGTCCGTCTACCCTCGAGAGCGAGCCACAAGCCCTTACCAGGGCCTTCTAGAGCCGTCGTAAGGCTAAGACCGGCTTGTTGCAGGAGAGCAATCAGCTGAGCCCGTAGACCTTCCAGGCCGCCCTCAATGCCGCCGACCCACTTGATTCCGTCATTATCAAATGCCCTTCCCTCTATCCTACCGCCTATTAGGATGAGTTTCTGAAATCCGCTCTGGGCAACAGGATCGTAGTATCCGGGGCTCTTTTTCCGCGACGGCGCCGGGAAGGCGGGAGAAGACGGCGCGAGGACCTTGAGTACAGCCGCCAGGTGTGCAGCTGATACCGAGGGGAAAACCACAGCGGCGACAGGTCCTGTGATCAAGGGTTTGATCTGCGCATATGTAGATGCCTCGTCTATTGTGGCCTGACGGATCGACTCGTATGCAGCTTCGGATAGATCATGCTTGTATTCAATCGAGCTTTCCGCCTCGATCTTATCAGGATTGAAGAAGTCGACAACCTTGCAGGCAACGTCGAAAATGCGCGTACGCAAAACTTGAAACTCAACCTTGGAGCCGATGTCAACGGGGGGCGCACCGTCGGGTCCGGCAACAGGCGTGATCTCTGCCAGGGAAGCGCGAATCTCTCGCCGTACGGCAGCCCACTCCACGGCAGTGAGGTTGTTGTGTTGGAAGAAGAGCATCAGAGGCATCGATCGTAGCATGGCTGTGTATGAACGAAGGAGTTGGCTTTTCCTCAACTCCGGTCGCCGCGCGCTTGGAGGCTGGGTTGGGGGGACATAGTCGTCGGGTAGCCTCAGAGCGCTGAGACCACTTGAGGTTCCAGCTGTTGCGTACTGCCTTGATGAAACCCTTGTCGCGTTCTGAGTTATGAGGATTGGTACTCTCGTCGGTGTGGATATTGTTCGCTGCAGAGTTCGCCCTACGCTGCTGCGTGCGAAAGAATTTAGTCGGGGCGGCATGATAGTCGTTTGTGCGGCTCTCAAGAGAACCTTGATGTTGTATTTCGCTCTCTCGACCCTAGTGTCGTTCGTAGGTAGTCGTTGCCGTTTGGATGAATATATGGGGTAAATCGTTTATGAGACGGTTAGACGTCTAGGTAGGAACCCTTTGGTCCCTTTGGTACCTACCTTTGGTAGGTAGGTAGGTACAGACTGTAAGTTATTAGCTTGCGCGATCCTATAGTTTCTTTATCTCTTATCTGCCAGCATGACTTATAATTACAACTTATGTATATCATGCTTATCGATAGCTGGGTAACCTGCCTTAGGTACATACCTAGGTACGTTAATAACTTGTCGCGAGCAGTAGATAGGTACCTCCGTGCCTGTACCTATACCGGTAACTCGAAAATAAGTACTATAATACAGTGATGTAGTTACCTACCACACATCTCACTCACATTTGCGAGTACCACCAGACGGACATAGAGGTACCTATTTAGATAGATACCTACCTCATACGGACTACCGTGGATCGCGACCTTGGCCCCTCAATGACTCCTAAGCTCTACTTAGCAGCAACCTATGGCGGGGCAGTAAATTGGATCTCGATGAGTCTCCAATTGACATTCCGTGAGTTGATATCTGTACCTACATTTTTTTTTAAAAAAATTGGTGCTGGGTGCTTTTATGTCATTTATTGGTCATACAATTGCTATTACTCGTAGCTTTGATATTGTTCAGCTTTAGATTTGTGTTTCTCCTCAACCTAGAGGTTTGTCGTCAATACGCGGGGACGATTCACGGGAATATCGCTGAGATCATTCCCCCCGACTTCGGCAACTTTCACTGCTCCAAGTCGCGACTCGTCGGCAGTCTCATTCGACCGTGATGGAAAACAACGGAGGTCCGGTCGATATTCGACCATTGCTTCAGCGGCTATGGCCGAATCCCGAAGAGCAAAAGGTCACGGCTCATGAGATTGCCGAAGCCATATCGCTGATCTTCGTCAATAGGTTGACGCCGGTTCAAACCGGCTCACTCCTGACAGCTTTGCATTTTACGGGCTGGGACCGTCGTGCTGATGTCCTTGCCGAAGCCTCGGCCGCGATGCGCCGTCATGCGGCAAAGATAGATGCACAGGCCTTGGAGAATGCTATATCGTCAAGAAAACGACCGGAAGGGAAGTATTTCGGCGGGTTGGTAAGTTCCTTCTCTTTACCCGGGACGTATTGCCGTGAGAGAGACGTGGAAGAACCTACCGAGGTTTTACAACGAGGAACCGACGAGATTAGTATTTAATCATAGACTTTGCAGTGCGACATCGTCGGCACAGGAGGTGATTCCCATCACACCTTCAACATTTCAACTACATCTTCCATCCTCGCCTCATCTCTGCTCCTCCTCGCAAAGCACGGAAACCGTGCGTCGACTTCCAAGTCGGGCTCGGCCGACCTACTCATGAACATGCAACCGAAGCCCGCTCAGCTCACTCGCATCACTGCCGACACCGTCTCTACTGTTTACCAGTCGACGAATTACGCCTTCCTGTTCGCCCCGGCCTTCCATCCTGGCATGAAACATGTCGCTTCCGTCCGCAAAGAGCTCGGTTGGCGAACCATCTTTAACCTATTGGGCCCATTGAGCAATCCCCTCGACGCCTCTATTGAGGCACGTATGTTGGGCGTTGCGCGCGACGACTTAGGCCCCGTGTTCGCAGACGCCTTGCGCATGGCTGGCGCGAAGAAGGGCTTAATAGTTTGCGGCAAGGAGCAACTCGACGAGGTCTCCTGTGCTGGACCTACCCTGTGTTGGCAGCTAGTCGAACGCGCCAGCGACGGTAAGGTCGAAGTTGAGCATTTCGTGCTCGAACCAAAGGATTTTGGGCTCAGCGCGCATCCGCTCAGCTCCGTGTCCCCCGGTAAAGAACCTCACGAGAACGCAGAGATTCTACGTAAGATCCTGCAGGGCGAGGTGGCCGACGACAGTCCTGTGCTCGAGTTCGTCCTCATGAATACGGCGGCCTTGTTCGTGGCTTCGGGAATCTGCGAGGCCGATACGAGTTCCATGGGTCCTGGAGATGACGGTCAGGTCATCACAGAGAGAGGGCCCGGGAACGGGCGCTGGAAGGAGGGAGTCCGAAGGGCAAGATGGACGATCAAGAGCGGTCAAGCTTGGAAGGAATGGACTGCGTTCACCGATGTCACGAACATGTTGCCCGAGTAATGTCTACGCGGAAGAGAATCTGCACTCAGTCATTGCTTTATTTTTCACGTCGTGTTGCTTGGGATTAGATTGCCCCTAATACCAATTGTATTTCGAGACATACCTATCTATATGCCTGTTACCTTGAGCCAAAAAAAAAAAAAAAAAAGAATACACACAGCTCAACACAAGCGAAAGATATAAGATAGAAAGCCAAAGAGGAGAACAAAGAATAGGAAGAAGAGCCCGCCCCCCCCTCAAAAAAAGGAAAGGGAAAAAGAAATTTAAAGAATCTCTCGATCGGGGAATCGAACCCCGGCCACCTGCGGCTTGTTCCAAGAACACCCCGTGCCCATCACTATCGTGATGGCGCCGAGTGGGATTCAATGACAAGCAGGTATCCTAGCCACTAGACCAATCGAGATGTTGCATCGTCTTCGGGACCCAAGTGGATCCGTGATTATTGAAAGCAACCGGCACTTGGAATACATTATAATCTTCGCTAATTACAGTCTGTACGGATTACCTACCTGCCTACCTACCTACCTACGTTCCCACATTGCCAATAATAACCGCCAAAAGATAAGCTCATAAGTGGACGGTGCACCATACTTAAGAGTCCAGTTCTGATGAAATTGGATTCGACGAGAAAGTACAGAGTAACTCATGTGGTATACACTAATAGCCACCTACCTAAGTTTACTTGTAGGTGAGTACCTGGGTAACCTAGGTGGTTCAAGGCAATAGACTACAGGAGACGCAAAAGCGCACAATATCATCGACATCATGAAACTTGGGGTATTTCTGTCTAAGTTGTAGATACGTAAGCATGACCATAAGTCTGCTACTTAAGCCATTCACAGCCAAGTTTCATCCGCTCACACACTTGGCTCTCTCCCTTTTCTGAAAGACCCGTCTCGACTTTGTCTTGACGCTCGCTCATCCCCGGCGTTTGCTTAAGACGCCGCGAACTGTGCCTTTCAATGTCGGTCTTCCCTCGATGACGCGCTCACCAATGCCGGTGTCATTTCCACTTCCGACTTCGAGCCATCGTGCTAGCAAGTCGTTGCTCTCCTTGGGGCGGACGCTTTTGTCACGTGTGCCCACGGTGATATGTGGCACCCGGTTGACGCAAGTCCACGTATCTGTCTCGTCTAGTAACCGTACCACAATCGCCATTATCCGATCGTCAAACACTACGCGCTCAAGAATGACATCGCACTCGCCGAGCTTTGTATCCTCGGAGGTAGAATTGAGGAGAAGATTTTGGTAGCGACTCCACAATTCGGGATTCTCGCCAGAGGCAGACCGGTGAATGAGTGTGACGTGGAAAAGGGACTGAACACGGCCGCTCTGCTGGAGTTCTTTGTAAAATTTCTGTGTCTCTGAATCGGCATCTTTGAAAGCCGATTCGAGTGCCACTTGAATATCCTTGGAAAGAACTGATACAGACATATATTCAAGCGGCCGAGCTTTTTCCTTCTTGGAACCTGGAGGTTTTTGTGTTCCCTGTCGCTTCGAATCTGGGTTACTGCTGCGGTCAGGGATCGCCTGTCTTATGGAGGGCGAGTATTCTTCGATTGCAGTCTTGACAGCAGCGTCCATATCTTCCGCGCTTGGCATGCTCGGAATCAACAAGGGATATCTCTTGTGGAGCTCGGAAACCACTTTCTCTACGTTGGCACGACTTGTAAGAGTAGGATCGAGGTCGATAATAAGGTCGAAGTCGTGATCGGGACCATTTTCTGGGTCGCAAGGTTGAAACCGAGCAAGGAAATTCTCCATGATACCAATGACTTTATTCTGGTCTGAGGCAGCCTGAATAGTCTGATGGTTATCACCACGCTTGAGCACTCGTTCTGTTGTGATCTTTTTGACATCATCCATGTTGCCGTGAGTAAAATTCAAAGCAACCAGCCGAGCGCCTTGTCGCTGTGCGTTGATGTCCTGAATGATCTGGTGTCGCTCTCGACGTTCTGAGTTATTTCTGTCGGCGATCACGACGGGATGTTCTTTTAAAAGCCCTGTAACGGCCTCGACCATTTTGGCAGGGCGGTTCTTGCCCTGGATGTTATCATTTTGAACGATTCCCCAACCAAATAGGTGGCTCAAGGCAACACCAACAGTAGTTTTCCCGCATCCAATGGTCGCAATCGGTACGAGGACGACGTCTCCCGACACACTCGAGGCTCCCTCGTCTCCGGCCGTATTCTCGATATTTGCAGCGTCGGAACCTTTGATATTCTTGAACGCAAGGAAGTCGTCTCGAAGAGCGATAATTCCGTGGTTCTGCAGGTACAGTTTGCCCAGATTCGGATCACTGGCTAATCTTTGGCGGGCATAGGCTAAGTATTCCCGAGTGATCTTGACATGTTTATTGATTTTAGGGGTGGATGAAGCAATGACGGCCTTCGTGCATTCTCGCCATTGTCGGTAGAGCAAATATGGTTCCTCAAATTTATATTTGAAGAACCAGTCATCGTATTGTCCCGAAGGTGATGAGATTTTGCAGCGGACGACAAAGCCTTCAACATCCCGACCTTCATGTGCACCAGACTCGGCTACCTCCTCCAGGAATTTCCGGACAGTGTCAACGTCGTCATAATATTGTACTCCAATCTTTCGGAATCCCCATTCGTCTGCGAATTGCTGAACTAGGTTGCTTGAATATGTCATAAACTCGGGGATGTTTAAATTAATACCATGGAGGTACAAGCCGGCCTTTTCGGGGCCGTAGGGCAGGATGTGTTCTTCGAAGTCGTCGTCGCAAAGTTCAGCAACTGCTGTGACATTTCTACGGCGTAGCTCTCGAGAAAATTCTTCTCTTGTTTTGCCAATGGTGGCCAATTGTTTGTCGACCCATTTTTCGCCAGCATTGGCGTGACTCACTTCGGTATCGCTTCTGTCGCCAGTTGAATGCTTGCTGCAAATGAGTAAGGTTCCATCTTCCAAGCCGCTGATGAAAATGATGCAACCGTTCTCTTTCAAAGTGAGCTCGTATGGGCCTCGTGTGTTTTCTTTGATGTAGTTCCACTTTGTTTTCGCGACCTCGTTGACGTTGAAGAATTTATCGTAGCCTCTCACGGCGATTTCGTGCTGACCGCTGCGGTTCTTGGTGGTGAAGAGACCGCGCGCATATGTCGGTAGATCGGGTCTCTTGTAATCCCACTCTCGAAGGCGCCACGAGTCGACAACAATTTTGTCAGGTGATCCAGCGACCTTGTAGCTGGTTTTCTTGGACCTGCCCTGTTTGCTTTTGCCGGAGGTCATGTCTTTTAGAACGTTGACAACCTGCGTGACCTTCTGAGGGTCGGGCGCAGCGTAAGGAGAATTGGAGAGATCCATAGTGAGTTGGGCTGGCTGCTGCTGTCCATAGTGTTAGACGTGATACCATAAAGGAAGAATGAGTGAGTTACGGATAAAGGGTCAACTCACTAGCTGTGTGCCAGATTCTACTTCTACTGAAGCAGCGAGGCCTGCGTCTGTGTGAAGACGGTAGGATGTGACCAGCGCCCTACGATGGAGCGAGAGAGGAGGGCGATTATGAAGAACAAGCGGATTGTGTGCACCTCGATGCGCGACTGATACAAGCGGAATGTTTCTGGCAGCGCGAGACACAGACACTATAGTGAAGAACCTCATGTACTTAGCGAAAACCTCACGAGAATGATGGACTCAGGTTCGTTGCCTGCGTGAGACTCACAGATGTTGGCCCTCAGGCTGCCGAGTGTTTTTAGATCTGAGTTATGTCGCATTGTTTTGTGCCACATAACATTGGGCGATCTCGACAGGAACTTAAGTTGGGTTAATAGTGTGCGATATGCCTCAGCCGAAAAGAAGGTCAAAACCGAGGGGACGAAGGTGGATGTCGAAGATTACCGTAGGTGCAGGGACGTTTGTTTAGAGGGGACAAGCGGTTGCCTGTTCTAGCTTGGTATCAGGACAGCTGCTGCACGTATGGGTGGGTAGGTAGGTAGGATAACTGTCTAGAGGGTTAGTTATCGCGTCTCTATACAGTCTGTGGAAACGGGCAAAAAAAAATTAAATGTGTCTTGGAAAACAACAAACCGTCACGTTTTTGCATTCACTTTTGGTAGTCCGTGCCACAGTTACGTTTTTGTCTGATTGTTTATCTAGCCCACCGAGTTAGCCCGGCCGTCTGGCCGATAACTGGGGCGTTGCAGGCGTGCGTCTGTGCGCATAGTGGGGTCCTAGATACCTACTGTAGTACTTAGGGCGAGCAAGTAAGTCTGTACTGTGGTACCTAGGTAGGCCGACTGCCGACCGCTAAGCCATCATATGGCCCAGATATGTGCCGCAATGCGAAACTGTGACTCACACCGGGTTGCAATTTCTGCTACCTTATGGTACTTGCCATATGACTTACAATGCATTATCACCTATCTAGGGGCCTTAGGTACTTGGTCTCGGCAAGGCCAGGAAACTCCGTAATGAGAGGTAAGGAACATGCCATACGTACCTACCTACCTGTATTTACGGGCTGTAAGTACGGAATAAACTGTACCTACCTAGGTAGCTGAAGTTCCCCACTATTCTACCCCTCCAATGAACAGGGAAATGTTCAACGCGAGTTGTGGCGGGGCACAAGTAGTAAAGTTATTTTTCTGTATCGCATTTGTATTTCATCGTCCCTTGCGGTGTTCCCTCTGCCTACCTTATTCGCATTACTGCCAGGCAACTTAGAAGCCCTGTCATATTCAATTCCGACAATTCGTGCTCAAATATTATTAGCCCCGAGCTCATCAATCTCTCCAAGGCCGTCACAATGGCTCCCAACCCCTTCCTCCTGGCGGCTGACAATAGCCCGACTCTTCTGCCCCTCCTTCGCGAAAATCCAGCTCTAGCCGGCCAGCAAGACGAGCACGGTTATTCTCTGGTCCACGCCGCCGCAAGCTATAACCATTTAGACCTTTTGCGTGCGCTGATTCAGGAGTTCAAAGTTGACGTTAACCTGCGCGATGAAGACGAGGAAACAGCCTTGTTCGTAGTGGAGACGGTCGATGCCGCTAGGGTCCTCATTGAAGAGCTTGGCGCCGACTTCACCATTAGGGGATCTGACGGCTGCACGGCCTGTCAAAGGATTACCGAGGAGGGCGATTTCGAAGACGTTGCCGAGTACCTCCAGTCTAAAGAAACTGGACAAGCCCGGAATTCATCAAACGGAGTGAACACAGTGAACGGAGCAACAGCACGAGGTCAAGGAAGGCCAGCCCTACCGGCGGGGCTCAATATTTCCATCAGCACCGCCACGCCCGCCGAGGACAACGAGAGCGAGGTCGACCCCGAGTTTAGAAGGAGAATAGAAGAGCTGTCACAACGCGAGGATTTTCATAGCGAAGAGGGTCAGGCTGCGCTCCGACAGCTTATTCAAGATGCAATCGCCGATAGAAACCTCGCAGACCG